ATGAGATATTATTATTCTTTTTTCTGTAAAAATTTACAAATGATTACAAAAAGATCGCTAAAGATTTGTAACGTTAATTCTCTTGTGTGTAAAATGATTACAAGATAAGTAGATAACTATACAATTCTTTCCAATTTTATGAAATGATCAGATCTGTATTTCTCCTATATAGGAATTTTACCAAAAATAAATAAAGAAAGAGACGAGGAGGTATAAAGCTTAGGCATGGAGGATAAAAATATGAAATAAAGTCGGTTTTGTAATTTAAAAATAGTAGTAAAAGCATTATTTATTAAGGAGATAGTATCAAATGGTTTAAAGATTTGTTAAAAGGAGTATTCAATTCCCCATGGTGCATTGCTGTGGCAAAGAGGATAAGACTCTTTCTTTTAAAACATATCCGTATCATCATGTCCTCGTCACCACTATCCTTAGCCATCTTTTAAAAATTTAATTTTCCTGATTTTGTTTAATTGGACCGAAAATTTTAGTTCCCATCACTAATAACCGACTATTACCTTCAATATTTTTATTCTATACAAGATCTATTCTCCAATATTTTTATATTGATAATTACGCTATATCCTTAAAACAAGAATCTTGTCCTTCTTCAAACAGCTTTTTCCCGACACATAAAAAAGAGTACAACTTTTTTGAAATATATTGATTTTCAATACTGAGAGGATAATATCAAATTCTCAATGATTCCAAGTTTCAAACGATTTTATATTATGAACACACTGACAAAAATTCAAAGTAAAAATCTTTGATACTTGAATATTCAGTTTTTCAAGTTGCAAGTTTGACAAGTATATTTAGTCCGATTCATACATACTATCTTACGAACTATTTTGAAAATTGATGTACCATTGCTACAATTTTAAATTCTTCTTAGAAAAAAACACTCGCTTTTTACCTTTTTATTTTATGAGAAATTGCATTTAATATACATAAAAGAATATATAATAAAATTTCTAGCCAATTAATCTAAATCTAAAGATTAATATATTATCACATATGCTAC